TCTCTCTCTCTCTCAATAATATTTGCTTTGAGTAAGCTAGTTGAGTTACAAATTCATTAATTTAGCGACACATAATTTAAGATAAAGCATTTATCTTGAATTTACATATATTTAAACAAAACGGAAAGAAAAATTATTCGACGCTAAGACTGTCTGTCGTTTATGATATAATGCTATCTATGCTATATTTTTGTTGTTTTAAAAATATCATAGATAGCATATACGGCTTAAATTATTGTTTATAAAATTATTATTTGCATAGTTAATAACAAATTGCTCCAAATATTATTAATGCAGATCGCTTTATAATTACCGACATATAAGATACTAATTGTTGGATATGATGCTGAATAACATTTGGATTCATGGAACCTTCAACTGCGATAATTATGCCTTGCATACCACCTACTTTACGTCGTTTCACACACACTCTGCTGACCATTTGTTTAAATTTTTGAAAGTACACTGAACAATATTTTGATAATATAGGATACAAAAGATCTAATTTCAAATTTAGTATCATCGTTTCTGGGCCAAGTTGATAATATATTTGTACACATGAGATATCGTAGAATTCATTTTTTATTTCGAATAGCACACCTGCGGATACATTGTATCGTTATAGATTGAATTATTGATGATTTTGATCTTTATTGAATTAAATATATATTCAATCAAAATCAAAATTTTTGTAACAAAAATTTTATCATATACAATATAATGTTGTAATTATAAATGTATATTATTCTTTTCTAACTTTTTAGTATTTAATTATCGTCACATAATATATGTCAAACCTTACATTTGTATATTTTGTATGTATTATTTTCAATATTAGTTTTAATAGTATTTAAGCTGAAAAAATTTTAGATTCTAAGTCTAAAGATTAAAAAGAGTTTTAATATTTTTTACGTTTATGTAATGCTATCAAATTGATATTAATTTTAAAATTAATTTGTTAAAATTATAAGTTAACTTTATATGTTTCATGTTTACTTACTCTCTTCCAATTTGATTTCTCGTTGTGGTATCATTTCTTCTTCCATGCTTATTGTTGGAATCTCATTATTATTCGCAGCTATTATATCAATTTCTAGTTTTCTAATTATACTTAAGGCTTCTTCTTTACTCATATCACCGTATATTAGGCATTCGACATGCATCTTACGAATAAAGATTCGTTTAAATTTTTGGATTTCATTAATAGTTACATCTACATAATTTTAAAAAAATGGTGATACAATTATAATAAGTTTGGTATTCTATTAAATCAAATTAAATCATAATCTAAATATTTTCATTTAAACATATGGTTTAATGTATACGTAATATGTTTTAAAAAAATTTAATGAAAGAATATTTTTCTATAAAAAAAACAATATCATGCAATAATAATTTAACTTTTAACGTTCTTACAAGTACTTGCTCTCAATATTTCGTCATACGTCCATATTTTCTCCGTTAATAGACACGAAAGATAATGAAATGCTTGTTCCATTGGTCGTGACGATACGAAAGATTTTAAGTTTTTGTCAATCTGTAACATACTTTTAATAAATGATTTTCTGATTTAATTTATTTACTAATTAGATCTATGTTTTCTTTATACATACATTATGTTTTAAAAGTTCGAATTTCTTCGAATACAGCTTTACATTTAATATTTTAGAAATTGTCCTTGATAATAATTTATGATTTTCCAAAGTAATATTGCAAAATACTTCAAGCTAAAAAAATAATTATATAAAATAGTAAATAATTTTTTTAATTATTCATTTTTCTATAAACTTTTTGTAATATATATTTATTAAATAAATATAGTTACAAGCAGAGAATATAGTAATAAGTAAATAACTATTAAAAAATATGGAGAATATTTTGCTTTTAAATAAATAAAAATTCGAATTTCAAAAGTCTTTTTGCGAATAAAATTTATCCATTTAGAGAAAAGTAAAATACAATTTTCGTTTCGTAGATAATTTGAATATATTATTGTATTATGTATCTATAAATAATTAACTTAACAATGAATAGTTATAACTTGTATAAGGATACATAATATTACAATTTTATGTAATATTAATATTGTTATTTTTATTTTACTTACCAATATTCCATAGCTAGTATTTTTAAGCTTCCATTTCAATGAATTGTCCGGGAAATATACATTTTCCTTGATAAAACTTTTAATCAATTTAGCAAATATAATATTTAAAATACTATTTAAAGGAGTGTCAGAAACATATGGACTACAAATCAAAATAACAGAAAATTATGATTAATTATCTATAATAATACATATTCGTTTTCACAGAAATATAAAATGTTCATGATTGTTGCACGTACCTGGTAAAATGAAAGAACATCTTCGATTGTGGTACAACTCTATCCATTTCCGGAATTATTTCATGCATATGCCAAAGTCTTACAAACGGTGTGTCCTCTATAATTTCAGGAAGTTTTTCGTACAATAATGATGGCTGCAAAATATTTTTGTCATTAGCATCTATGATGATATAATTGCAAAGAACATTTTTTTTGCTTTTAAGTAAATCGAAAAATAAATAATATGAATTTGTTATATTAATATCAAAATATCGTTTTCCGGAAATATTGAAATATTAAAAGTTAAAATTGGATAATATTTTTTTTTATAATTTAGAAGGGTTGTTTTTCCAATTTATTCTAATTGCAATTAAACATTGGAATAATATAAGATTTAATAATATACAACAAAGAATTATTCAAATTCTTTAAAGTTTAATATAATTATTACTAATATTCACTGTTTAAAATGTGTGTGTGTGTGTGTGTGTGTGTGTGTGTGTGTGTGTTTGTTTCAAAAATACGTATTCCGATTTTATATGATAAAAGATTCATTCATCTTCGATTAATTTTTTATATCTTTTTTTACATTTCTGCATACTTAGATGAAAGAACATTTTATTTAGTTATTAAAAAGAAAATATTTAGCTACCTTTTTATAATAACATCAAAATTATAAAACAACAGACAATTTTAATGCGTTTAAATATTAATATTAAAAAAAAATTACTCCGTTATTTGGCCAAGACATTAACTCAGATAATTCTGTATACGATTGCATCCATTTATCAATTAAATCCTTAGATATTCCACTAACTGTACATTCTGATATTGAATCACTTTTATGCATGCTATCTTCGTCTACTACTAGGAAAATTTTAATATTCTGTGGCGAAATGTAGTCATTTAGTATCTCTTGAATTATGGACACAATACTTTGGAAATCTCCAGAATTTTGTGTGCGTAAAATAGTTTTTACTGGATATTTGTGTAAACGTTTAGCCATTTTTACAGACAGTAGAGTAACATACATTTCTTCTTCTTCAAATATTTTGTATTTACACATCTGCAAATGTAGAAGTTTGTAAGTACTTATGCATATGGATTTATATGTATTATACATATGTAAATTACATATAAATTTATATATAATACTCTGTCAATACTCTATACAATTAATTTATTGTACTATAATACCCACTAAATTGTATTACAATTAGCATAAGTTGTTTTGTTGTAGAAAAGAATTAATAAAAAAGATAACAAATTTAATAGTTAGTTAGTTTTTTAGAAAAGTGGTATTAAATATGAAAGTGATATTTAATATACACGTGCCTGTGTGTTTGATCGCACATGTGGATTGATATTTGTTCATTGTTTATATAGAATGAAATTTTTAATAATAATTAGTTTCAAATGAATTATAAACACAAAAAGATTAATACAAAGAAAATGAGAAAAAAAGTTTTTTGTTATTTCATGCATAAAGATTTAAGAAAAATGACTTGAAGACATGCATATGTAAGAATTATCTTTTTCAATAACAATTAATGAAGCATTTTATCTTTATTCTATTCTATAATTATGAGAAATAGCCAATAATATGACGATTCATTGAAAGTTTTATATAAATCTTTATATTAAATAAATATTTTTTTTATTAATTACATTTTGCAGTATTTTCCTCAGATGTAATTGCCCGCATTCTGATAATAGATACATCTTTTTGAACGTCTTAATGTATTGAAAAAACAATGTAATGATTTCGGTGATTTTGGAACATCCTTCTGACGTTATAGCGATATGGACGTGGAAAAAATTGAGGCATGTAGCTGCTTCATAATTATAAGTTGTTATATTTCTTGCTAATCTAATAGAATATTTATCTTTTAATGTTTTTAATAGCGAATTGGGACCTTTATATTCCAGAATATAACTAATAAACTTTACAGCCTACATTAACAGATAAGTGGTAAAAATGAGTCATTATGGAAATGATCCATATTAAAATATCATAAATAGAACAATTTTTAGAATTATTTTGAAATTTCTGTGTTTGTCTATTTTAATAATGTAATCTTTTCCTTGTTTTACATTCAATATAGAAATTGATTGTTTCCAATTAATATTTGTTTTACTTTGAAAAGAAGAAAAGAAAAAAATAAACATGAAGATAACGGAAAGAGAATAATTATAAAGTAAATAGAAGACAATTAATAATATAAAAACTTTTTAAAATTTTAAATAAACATTATTAAAAAAACATCAAACATAAATATGATAATATAATTAAATGTGATATTTATAAAAAATATCATATTTCGCTAAAAGGAATTTTATTACCTTAGTCATACAATCATCTGTCAAATAGGGTAAAGGAAATGAGAGTGTTAAATGCAATATTTCGAGATCTAGTAAATACCATTTAGTGCATAATTGATTTTTAAATGGATCATCATAATTTTTCGTTAGTTTAATTTCTTTATTTCGTATCTGACAGAATTCTTTTACTATCATGCTTTCTATTTTATGTAGTGAATCTAAATAAAAATTTAGTTATTTGATTATTGCTATTATATATTATTATTAATTCTAATGCATTTTATATTTATTATTATTGTAAGTGAATTATCGTCTCTTACAACCACTAATGACGGACAGAGTCATGATATTGGCAGAGTAATATTTGTCAAAAAAGTCAAACAACTTAAGTCTGATCTCTTTCATAGACATTTTCTTCAAGACATCGTCTTCACATAAGCCGTCTGTTGAATAAGTATAAGAAGATATGTCGTTACCGTCAAGTTCATTGATCAGCGATTGTATAACATGTTTACTGCAAATTTTATAAGAAGAAAGATTGATTAGATAGATTATATAGAAAGATTGACAAGAATATAACAAATTTATCAGCAAAACATAATGGCAGATTGATGAGAGCAAATCAAGCAAATTTTGATAAATTTGTTACACAATTTGATGCGTGTGAATAGCAAAAATAAAAGAAGATCTACATTCGACAAATTTTGCTGTCAATCGAATGTCGAATTGTATCAGCATACTGAGTCAGTCAAAACATAAATTTAGCAAACACTATTATTAATCAAATTTGTTATCAATTTATTTGAATACTGTGTACAATTTACTTACCGATTAGGTTTTAATAAATATTTTTCGAAATTTTGAAAGAAATCAATTATATCGTCCTGTAATATATTGTTATCTTTTGCATTTATATTAATCTTGTTTATAGTTTCTCTGATCCAAGATTTTTTAAAGAGAGGTGTTACAAAGAAATGAACAAAGCGATTTAACGCTTCTTCAAAAACAATAGTATTCTCTGTTTCTATATTCCAACAATAGATACTATGATCCGGAAATGTTTCTATATATATATTGCCATTATGATTATGTATGAAACAATCGAATTCCTTGTACTGAGGATATTTTTGAGATCCTAAAATTAACATTTCTTGGCATAATTGCGCCAATCCTGTGAAATCATCCGGATCGGAATAATTGCCTATAATAACATATTTTATTTTTAATTAAGTAGCCATACAACTTATAATTTAATTATCATTTATTGGAATTATGTACATATTAAGTAAGTATGAAAAGAAGTATTGTAGCATTATACAATTGTAAGAAATAAATGTGTTAGAGGATGATGTAAATCTGTTAAATTAGAGAGTTTCTTTGCTTTTTTTTTTTTCTTTAAATTGGCTTTTTCCTTTAGTCTGGTTTTTAAATTAATAAAATATAGATAAATATTTATGTGTTATTAAATAATTTATGTGCCTATATACATTTACAAAGGAATAACTTAAATAAAGATGATATTATATAAATGTACTAAAAACAGTTTGTATTTGACAGACGCAATAAAATGGAAAAAAATCAAATTTTTAAAAATGTAATTTAGAGCATATAAAACTCTTCTATATGTTTATTTTATTTTTACCTAAAAATTGCTAAAATAAATAAAATTACGAGAATTATTCAACGTATACAAATATAATGTAAGAAACATTACCGACGTGAACATCTAATACGAAATAGGTTGTAGTATTCCAATAATTTGATAGATTCAGGTCATTTATTAACATCACTTTCATTTCGTTAATGAGCACTAAACTTTTGTAACTTTTATGATCATCGTTAGTTTTATTTAAGTCATGTTGTTCTAGTATTACATGTGAATCTTTAGTCGTCATTTTTACTGTATTAAGCTCGTGATTTCGACAATTTTCTTTATGAAGATTGTAAGAGAAACACGACGGTACTGAAGATTAGGATGTTCGATATTGTGTTATATATGTTTACTCACAATATAAATCCAATCTGTTATTTAGAACATTTCGTATGTTTGTGTTACGCAGACTATTACTTTAAATTTATATGTAATCAACGGCTATATTGAATCAATTTAATGTAATATTAATGTTTCACTAAATTCAAATTGCAATTATTACGAGTACTTTTTCTAAAAAAAAGTGCTATATTACTCACTTTTCTACATATATAATAACGCAGATATTAAATATAATATTTAAATAATATATATATAATAATTACATATAATTATACATTACGTATAATTATTATATTATATAATAATAATTTGTAATTATAAATTACATAAATATTTATAAATTAATTTTTGTATTATATTTCTCGACAATATAAAAATTGTCATATCGCTCTTTGATAAATTTGGAGTTACTATCGCTAAAAAATCGTAATTTAATGGTAAATCATTCTATGTTTCTCGTAATTTAAACAATATTGTGTTATTTTTAAAATATAGTTTGATAAATACGCAATTTTCAATGGTATATTTTACATGTGTACAAAAAATGTCATGAGAGAATAGATACAAACATAAAGGTACTGATGTAAATTTTATTATAAAACAAATTCAATATATTAAAAAACCAATTAATCTAATATGTATATACAAATAATTACAATACTTATATAAATAGATTATTTATATAAATAGATTGCATGTTTCTGTTGAAAAGATAAGGATAGCATTAATAAAAGAGAACTATAATGAATCAGAATTTCCTTACCGATCGTATAATTATAGAAAGGAGGAATGAGATGAAACAGTCTTGCTCTTCGAAAAGAAATGCGCATTATGCTCTCTGTCCTTTTCCTTCTTTTTTATTTTTTTCTTTTATTCTTTTTCTTTTTCATTTGCCTTATGATTTTCTATAACATTGTCCTCCGCATATATTTGATAAAGAAA